GAAAGTGATGTATCGATTGTTTCTCAAGAAATATAAATAATTTATAAATAAACAAACTCAACAATATGGAAATTTGTATAACCTTGTGTTATATCCTGATAAGAATAATGAATGGTAACTTTTGGGATTCATTTATGGACCAATACTATGAGTATATTTTTATCGTATAATTGTTATGTAACTAAACTGTTCATATTCATGTCACTCTTACTGTAAGCTTTAATTTGACCCATAGACTATTATTATACGTTTTACCATTCTTGAGTTATGGCCTGTCTGTTAATTACTATCTCCCACATTCACAGCCAATTTTGGCTAATTCTTGTACAAATGTTATTTTCTATTTTATGGTACGTTGTGGTCTGTTTGATTGGTATATAAACCCCGTATGTTTGAAACAAATGATTCACATCGCAGAGGCTGAGACTTGTGTTCTGGACTTATCTGGCTGGGCTAGGTGGAAAGAAGGACTAATCAGGATTCTAGGCTGCTCTCACGTGTTTTATGCGTCACTGGTTCGATCGATAATTCGCTACTCTCTAATTAGTGGTATCGTTGCGTTATTCAATATACAGGGCACACAGATCCACAAGTTATAACACCTTGTTAAGATAATTTTTGAAGAAGAAAAAATACACAATAAGAATAACGGTGGATTTATTCTGAGTTGTAATTGAATAGTGTTATACTATTGTTTTGATAATGAGTTGTCTGTTTTAAATGTTTTGTTTTAGTACGCGAAAATCACTAGAATTTTGTAGTAACACTGTGCTAGATGTGCTACGATAGTCATTGTAGTGTATCTCTATAAAATAGTAACGAATCTATCTAAATTACAATGGTCATTAGTCGTTGTTTTATAGTTCGAATAAGTTTTTACAACCAAAGGAAACCTAATACAAACCATTGATTATCATTAGTAAGCCACAAGGGGGAGGGCTATTCAGTGGTATTTCCTAGTTTTCGATCGTTGTCTGACTAAAATCAATCCATGGTGTAAACTATAATAAATTTCAACTATTTGTAAAATTCCTTACGCTCGTAATCATTACGTGCTGATTAGTGACTAGTTATAAGAGATAATTTCCCGAGGAGTTCTACTGAGAGACTATGACCAGTGGAGTTCAACTATGTTAACTGTGAGACAGTTACTCATCAATTATAATGAAAGCTGCACGATATAATGAATGAATTAGATTTAGAACTAAGTCGTTATATGCTAACTTAATGATCGGGAGGTTAAGCGTTTTTTGTAACATCTGAAATATTCTGGGGCTTATGGTGTTATGATAGAGTAGTCAATGCAAACTACTGACTGGAGTCCCATAATAATACAAAGACACTGTCTATTATTCAAATATGATCAGTTCATGATTTAGAATACAGTAAAAATAGTTAATTATTCAAACAGACGAAACTTAAAACATTCATACTCATATATCGTTAAATGAAACATTTGCGTTCTTTAACCAAAATCCTTTTTTATTGTGTTTTGGTGGAAGTGAAAATTGTCTATCAAATGAATTGTTTCGAGTAATTTGTAAGTCAGTCAGCTACAACGTAGGACTAGGCACATATATGCATCGGTCCAAGTTGCCATACCTCGTTAACACAACAAGATGGACATCGGATTCATAAAAGTAGTTAATTCAGAGGTGATAATTTATAAAAGAAAGATTGCAATAAGGATATAGTACAGGAAGAAAGAATTAGTTCATAGAAAGAAAGATATGAAGCGATTTTAATCTCTTAGTTTAAAGGAAGACAGAGAGTGTATACACCGACGCCATTGTGATCGATCCTGAGCCATGTTACCAAGAGTCTCTAACCATTGGTTACGATAGTCACACGGACCCAAACCAAGTAGTCTGCATCTACCAACATGGCTCAGACTAGAAGTTAGTGACTTCAAGCACGAGTAATTTGTAAAGAATTTGGTTTCGTTTTTTGTAATGTTTAAAAACTATATAATTATATCTAACAGAATTGTCAGATGATTTTCACTAGTCTCAATGGGTTACAATATCTGATAGTGTATAGTATTTATATATATATATATCGTGAATACCATTTTTGATATTACCAAGATTAGTTGTTGACTTACTGTACTTATTCTTTTTCTACCATGTCACGTGTGCTGCTTCAAAGAAGTCTGTTCATTTTGTTTCTTTTTTTTTAAACAGCAAAATCAAAACTATTCATCACTATAACACTATTTCAGTAAAGTACTTACTAAAACACTAATCTATACTGGACAATTTCTATATTTTCTGTAATGCGTATGTATGTGTGTACGTATCTATGATTTCCATCAGAGTTAGTTATATTCTGATACAGTGGTTTACAAATGTCATAATTGTAGAATTAGTGAAATAAAAGTTGTCTTACATGTATTAGTTTGCTCATGAAACACTCTTCCTAAATCTCTCAACCGTACAGATTACGAACGAAGGAACTACTAATTAATTGACCATAAATATAACATTACTAAAATAAGACTATCAATTCGTATAATTTAACTCATAAGATAATAAATGGTTAGATAAAAGTAACCATGATGTTCACTGGTCAAAATTGCTCCTGATTGTGACAAAGTTTTTTGATATTTCATAACTACTTTTTATATTGAGTTTCTGGTATAACAATTATACTAAGTAGGCAATACGTTTTCACATTGAGTTAGTGATAACCAACTCTAGTTTTAATAGTATTGAATGAAATCAATTCCTATTCTCTTTCACCTTGCCGGCTAAGTAAAGATGGAAGTTTTAAATTGTCTAGATGATTTTTTGTCAAACTGTAGTGTCGGTTGACATGTTAAGCCCATATATCTTATTATTGCTTTCGGATAGGCCAATCTATTCATTCTAGTTGAGTTACATTTTGACCTTGTTAATTATTATTCGCTTATCAATCTTAACTGTTTTTATATGAGCTCATATGTGTGTGTACATTTCTTATCCTATTCATCTCATGTCTGTAAGTTATTTTTGTGTGACTATAAATATTGATTAACGCTTGACTAAATGGAGTTGGCTTGCACGCCATCTCTACTGCGCGTCGTTTCTCTTCTCCCTATTTTATTCGCTTCATATACAAAACATATGTATTCACAAGTCCATTCTCGTTATTTGACTTATTTAATTCCGTTATTGACTAACGAAATTTAAGTCGATGATTATATACACATATACAAAGATAGGCGACATATATATTTCAATAAAAATCATTCATACGATCTACTTGGAGTCAGATCTTGGGCCACTGAAGTGGAGAGCCCATCAACAAACATTGTCCAATCAAAACGACAACAAAATAAAGAGTCCTACTAAAAAAAACATTCAAGCTGAATACTGATCATTCGAATATGTTCATTTCTCAATAAAGTTATTCATTATGATTATTTTTGATAGAAATAGGTTACGCTAAACGAATTTCTAAATATAATTTAATACAAATAAATCTTATGCTAAATGAATAAGAAAAAAAAATCACATGGGATTAATGAATACAAATGAATGAATGCTTTACTGAATAGAAATTTTACACTGAATTAATTCAATATAAAAGTCATACTTTTAATTATTACATAATCTTTTATGTACTTTCTTCTTAACTAATTGTACTTGTAGATTTTAACATTTACAACAATAGATTATACTTGAAATATAAGAGTGTGTACATCTTTTAACATAATTGCAACTTTTTGTTGAATTAAACCATTTGAAGTGATCATATTATACATTTAGACATAATTATTATTCAAACTGTTGAATTCATCAGTCAATCCAAGTTAGATCGCTATTGAAAACCTGAAAGTACTTGGCGATGGTTTCGTCTTAGTAAAAGGCTTTTCAGCTGTGTGCATCCACCATCCTGCGCAAGATCATGGATCGATTGAAGTTAGATATCAACATCGTTTTATCCAGGCTCAGTGATCTATAGGTGAAGCTTTCGTGTAGGGAGTCCTGGATGCTCATTACTGGGGAGCTTTACGTTAGGACGAAACAACCCCTAGTACTTACAGTTTATCAATAGTTGTCTAGCTTAGATTGACTTGTGAATTCCATTATTAAAATACTACACTCTCCACAAATCCCTATAATGATAATAATCAATATTCAGTTGTGAATTCTATATAACAAATAAACATTTTGAGAATGACATGACTCAAATGTAGCATTCACTCTGAAGGCTTGTGAAAGTGTTTCTTCCTGATTGGGAATTTGTTTGTATGTACAATTATGAAACATCACGCAAGTCAACTCCTTATTCCTAATTGATTTACAATCATTATCTGACTAAAGTCACTTCTTCAAGCTATAATATTTACGTATTACAACAATCTCTTTAAACTGCTTTATCTAATGGTTTTTAGCTTAGTTTGTGTATAATGTTTATCAATGAATCATTTAACCGTTGAAAATCATAAATGAATTATGTCTTTATTATTACTATTATTATTGCTTGCAAATGTTTTTGACGTGATAAATTAAGTATTGAATATTGGTGGTAATTTTTAGTGTTTGCTTAATCTACAAATTAGTTAAATATTTGACACTACTGTTAAAATAAATATTATCAGAAGGGGTTTGTGGAGATTTTAGAAATTTCATAGATTGAAATCATGAGTCAATTGAAGCTAAACCACTATGGAAAACCTGGAAGCACTGGACGACCATTTCATCCTAGTATGGGACTCCTCAGCAACGCCTGGCGCGAGACTGATAGGTCCTAGGTTCGAATCTCACGGGGTGTGGGATCGTGGATGCGCACTGCTGAAGAGTCCCATACTAAGACGAAACGACCGTCCAGTGCTTCCAGGTTTTCCATGGTGGTCTATCTTCAATTGACTCATGATTTCAATCTGTGAAAATAAATATTGATACGATTCTAATAAACTACTCCCTAATTCATTCATTTATAATTTAGAACAGATTTTAATATTAAGCTTTAAAATCATTATAATATTGTATGTGTATATCTACTTATTATTTTAGTTTGCGGTGATATACATGGTCAATTTTATGATCTAATGAAACTTTTCGAAGTTGGTGGTCCTCCTGAAACAACACGTTATCTATTTCTTGGAGATTATGTTGACAGAGGTTATTTTAGCTTAGAGGTATGTGTGTCTATTTATTATTATTATTATTATTATTTATTTCATTTAAAGAATACACATACACTATGATTAATTGTTTCTTAATTTCACTTATTCATTTGTATTGATTGTTTGAATATTACTATTCAGTTGTAGGACCGCAATTAATCAATCTTTTTCGGTATATATATATGTGAATCCAGTGCATATTGCCTCGATATTGCCTTAAGTCACACGCATTATATAAAAAGAGTCTTGGATTTCACTGCTGGACCACCTTCCATTTTCACTGATAATTTAATATTAAAATCATGTAATGTTTTGTAATTTTCTTTTAGTTACTTAAATCTGAAATCATAGTTTTTTTCACTTTATGGAAAAACTACTTTGGTTGAAGTTATCTTCTATGTTTTCGATTTCTAGTGTATGAGTTGTATCCAACAATATTCGACTGCATTTCTGTTTATTTTAGTGGGTGAACATTACATTCTAGAGTGTAATTTTCACTAAAGATTTCATTTCAAGCTTATAAAAGTATCCATAACTATCTGTTATAAGCAAATGTGGTGAAAATTAACTCTTGAAATGAATTCTAGTTTTCAAGACTCATTGATTGAATAGACGTAAAATTGCCTAATAGTATTGGATACAACACGAACTTATTAAACACCGGAAACTTTAATTGATTCAATACAATCAATGGTTTAATGGGTTTATTCATTGTCAGATACTTTTGTAGACATTCATTGATTCTTTCCAAAAAATGGATTAGATTGAAGATAAGTGATTAATGTCATGCCCCGTGTTTTCCAACTATTATTGCCAACTAATAGCAATAATAATAGTAATAATAGTAATAATAGTAATAATAATAATAATAATAATAATAATAATCCAACCTGATGTGTTATTATTATTAAAAATTCATTATCAAACTACACTTCATGTAATGGGTTTGCTTGTGTACACTTGGTGTTAGGATAGAATAAAACCATGTGAGATCATTTAGTAACTCAAAATGATTCTTCAGTAATTACTTCTGTTTTTTTCTGAAAAAAAATTAGTATGATAATTACTGTGCATAATATTCATCTGGTATTATTATTATGATGATGTTGTGAATTTCATTCATTCTAACATACAGTTTATGTTCTGTATTATTTCTTTGTCAAATCTATGAATGTATTTCCTCCTATTTTGATTATATGCTAACTAATCATTAAATATTAGTAGTAAAATTTATACATAAAAAATGATTGAATTCAGTTAAAGTATTCATCCTGCTTCAGTTTGGGCACCCGGGCAGTATCACAGCCCTCACACATATCAAATGAGATCTGTGTGACGCATATGTATTTGGTGCCTCCTTGTACCAATATCTATGTGTTAAAATAAAATAAAGTATTCGTCATATTTTTTAGAGGATTCATAAAATCTTTATTTGATATTAATTTTTGTCTTGTTTTGTTATGCATACTTCAGTTCTTCCACATTCCGATATCAGTTCTTTACTTGATTTTCAGCCTTATTATTATTTATGTAAGGATTAAGCTGAAACAGTTCACTGATGGTGTTCAGTTTGAAAAATATTCAACCAAGTGAAACTGTTTATATCACTATTATAATTGATTTAGATGCGGTTATTATGTTTCTGTATATCATTGATACTTTGTTCTGGATTGTCTTCGACATTATCATCAGTCAGAAGCATTTTTAATCAGACTTAAATAGTGGCTATATCTACACAGTCTTATTATTGTCTAAATTGTTTTAAAGAATAACTCATGTTGGTAACGAGTGTATATTATATCAGTCCTATCCATCATTTTGTGTTTATTCTCGCTCAATTAATCATTAATTTTTATGTAGGCGCTTTTTTCGTATAGGGGTCTTTGTCGAGGTGTGTTTGTTTATTAACCTATCTATAAAATACTTTAGACCGTATGTAAAAATTCATTCAATAATACTTTAATTATCAGTATAGGGTTCTGGAAGTTGTTGAGTTTCATAGAAATTATGAACTGATGAATGTTAAACCACCATTGAAAACGTTAGTTCATAGTGTTTCTTTGCTACGGGTCGCATCGTTTAATTTCCCTACGTGGTAATACAATATTTCGAACAATTTTTTTTTCTCGACTTATTCGTTTATAAACCGTTTGAAATTTCCAAAATGACGGTGGTTGTGTTGATTATTCGTATGAGATTAATAAGAACAATCTCACGCCTGTTCCCTCAAACTTCAGACGTCGTTAAGCAAATATTTGTTACAATGTTATTGAATGATCATTGCTCTATATCAGATATTGGCTAAAGTTGGAAATAGATACAGTCGGACAACGATTCTCATAACTAAGAGGTTGCCGCACAACCTAAGATTCTGGATTTGATCTCCGTTAGGATCATAGACACTTACTACAGTTCTGAAGAGTGTCATATTGGACTAAGCAATTGTTCAGTTCACTCTATACTGAGATTAATTTATGACAAAACCAATCTATAGGTTATTTGGTATCCTCAATTTTTCCAACAGATTTCAGACATTTATGAACACTATCTACACAGAATAAAAAAACTTATAAAAATTTAACCACTTTTAACATTCCATACAAATATTTGTGTGTTTGTGTATGTGACTGTGTTGATGTTTTTAACATCTTGTTATTGTTTTTCTTTATTATTTCAAACCAATGCAGCATCATTAACTTTCTTTTCACTTTATTCATGGAAAGTTGATTACACCAAGTAATCGGCATATGTGACCTGGTATTGTAATATAAATAAAGCGCATTCATTACTGCAATGTGCTTTTTTGTTATCAGTGTTAACTTATTCGGGACTCCTCGGATGGATGTATCCCCAACCTAATGATGATAAAAAGAATCTACCTTCCACAGCTAACCACCATTCAATTATACTTAGAGATGTTTGTGACTTAGTGGTAATAAGAAAGATTAGTTCAGCGAAGAGTTCTCTTTTTGGCGAATTCATTTTCAAAGCTGTTTAATCGCAAATATATAAACTAAATAAGTTTCTACAGGATGATAATATTACTGATAATAAACTTGTTATACATAGTGACAGTGAGGTTAAATATACAAAGGTATTAAAAATATAAAAAAATTTAAAACAAGGAAAGTTTACTAGTCGTTTGATTGTTATTGGCTTAAGTATTCATCAAAAGATAAATAGGGAAATTATCATTGGGATTGGATTAATAAACTTTCCTTGTTTTAAAATGTTTTTATATATTTAATACCTTTGTATATTTAACCTCACTGTCACTATGTATAACAAGTTTATTATCAGTAATATTATCATCCTGTAGAAACTTATTTAGTTTATATATTTGCGATTAAACAGCTTTGAAAATGAATTCGCCAAAAAGAGAACTCTTCGCTGAACTAATCTTTTTTATTTAATGTCTTAATGGGTGTATTCCGTTTACATAATGGTAATATTGATGCCAAAATTGACTGATCAACTACTGTTCATAACATCAACGGGAGGATTCTAGTAATCAATACAAATAAATCATTGTGTTAACAGCTGTTGGTGTTTAGATCTAAAAGAGTCTTTTTAGTGAAGAACCATAGTCTCTTGTTGTTTTATGCTCAGAACTGTAACTGGTCAGTCATTTCTGAGGCAAATGGGAAATCATAAAATCTTTCTGTTACTTTCAAACCTGTTAAACAAGTTAGTGGATACGTAAAATAAGTAGCACAGTGATTAAATCATTAAGAATTTAAAACAAACTTGTATTGGATTTAAATATTGGTCTAAACGTCAACACATTGAGTTGTATGTAAGTCCATATTTCTTTTTAAAAATAAAACTTCAATATTATTGTCATCGTTGTTATTCACTGTCTTTAAATGTCTCCTATCATTTATTAAGAAGTCTCATATCTCTCTGTTTGTATATTTTCCAGTAATTAATATCTATTGTCAATTTTGTATTTTACGTTCATATTCTTGATAAAGTATCATAGGAACTATCTTAACCGAAGGAATCCTTTCCAGTTATATTCTTAAGGATGAATTGTATTTTTTACAATGTACTATTCTTGTTCACTTATTCTCTTTTTCCTTAGTTATACTCATTTTTTTTCTTTGTTTTCTTTCGCAATGTTATCTCTTGACTATTTTTTTGGTGACCTATTTTTTGGCTTTTTTTTCTCTATCAGATATTATGTGTATTTTACACAAAATAAATCAATAAATCTTAGGAACTCATCAGATTTATGATATAGTAACAAAAACTAAATCTCTCAATATCTCAGTTCATTTTGTTGTCTGATTGTTATTATTATTATTATTATTATCAGAATGGGTTTTGTGGAGATTTTTAGAAATTTCACAAGTTGCTGAGGAGTCCCATACCAGGACGAAACGGCCGTCCAGTGCTTTCAGGTTTTCCATAGTGGTCTAGCTTCAATTGACTCATGATTTCAACTTGTGAAATTTCTAAAAATCTCCACAAAACCCATTCTGATAATAATAATAATCACCTGCTCACTAGTGACTGACTTCAGGAGACACTCCTGGAGTTCTAGTGAGAAGTCGTTACCAGTGCAGTTCAACCAGGTCTGTTGTGAGATAGGAACTCACTGAAGACAATAATGTACGGTGGCGCAACTTTGTGGATTGGTTGAGGTTAGACATTAGCACCGTTGGATACCGGCTTAGTATTCTAGTGGTTCAGCGCTCACGCGCAAAACCAGTAGGTCCCGGGTTCGAGTCCTGCGAGGTGCGGGGTCGTGGATACGCATTGCTGAAGAGTCCCATACCAGGACGAAACGGCCGTTCAGTGCTTTCAGGTTTTCCATGGTGGTCTAGCTTCAATTGACTCACGATTTCTAGTTGTTATTGTCTATTTATACAAATCATGAAAATATATATTTAAATAAAGTTTTAATGTTAACATGAAATTTTAAATAAGATTTTGTCAGAAGAGATTGGAGTGTTGTGTTGAAAATTTGTAATTTGAAAGTAAAGTATTGTATACTCTGAGTTGAATAG